ACGTCGCCGGGGGGCGGGCAAAGAATAATACTCGCCCGCGATAAGGCAGTCTACGAGTATCGAACGAGCAAACAAAGCCCCGCCAAGTCAAAGTGCAATGCAGCATAAAAAATGCAGGAAAAGCAGGGGGCCCCAGAAATGGTGATGGGAAATGGGGCTGGGAAATGGGTTCGGTTCGGGGAGCAGACGCGTCGAGTGCATTGACAGCTGACAGCAAAGAGGCTGAGCAGGCCCCGAGTTATGCATACGAGTACGTCTGGGGCAGGAAAGGGTGCTCCGTTGCTTTCTTTTGCAAAATTGCTTGTTTACTTCAAAGCAAGCAATTCCTGGAGCATCAGCTGCGTCATGGCGCAAAACAATGCTGTCAACTTGGGCGTCGCTGCCATCGCACAGCGCCATCAGCACGGCAGGAGGAGCAAGAAAAGTGGCAAAACTTTGGGAGGTATACCACTGGCAGATACCCATTAAAAATGGCGGAAAAACATTATGATTTTTGTTCGATTTTTTTTAAATATCTTAATATATATTCATAATATATTTATTAAGATATAAATGATTTATAATATTTTAATGGTGTATAAACTTTTTTAACCTTAACCAGATACCATTGAAAAGCCAGGAAAAATAAAGGATTTTTTGCGATTTTCATCTTACTTTGCCAATATTTTAAATTATCATTTTATTAAAATCTCAACTCGTTAAAAAATAGCCATCGAACGTGAAAGGCTGTTAAGAAGAATAATTCGAATAAAAATTCAGGACAAATAAATTAATTCTTTTCATTTTAATCTTATCTTGCCAATATTTTCTGACTTAAAATGTGCTCATTATATCAATCAAAATAAAAATTCTTTATAATCATTATTTATTATCAATATATTCAAATTGTCATTTTATTAAACTCATTAAAAAATGGCCATTGAAAGTGAAAGGCTGTTAATGAGAATAATACAATTATTTATCATGGTATATAGATACCATAAGTGTCGATGGTATAGTTTCTAAGACAAATTGTGATCGCTAAAACAATTTTAATATTTATTCATCAGTCCAAAAACCCAACAAATAACCTCTACTTCCACCAAGTGCTGGGTATAAGGAGGCAGCAACAATGGCCAAGAAGCGAGTGCTTGAGACTGGCTCGAGGTCCCCAAGCTCTGCCGAGTGCCCCGGCGGATATTGTTAGGGAAATTGATTGAAAGTTTCGAGCATCTTAAAAGTAATGGTAATGAGATTGTTTTGCTTGCACTCGCATTGCTCGAATGCAGCTCACATGTGCCGAGGATGGAGGAGGCCGTAATCCCCGAGTGCAATAATTATAAATAGTGCTCGAGAGTGCGGGCCTGTGAGTGCGATTACGGATTGCCTGGCTGCACTTCGTTTCGTTTTGCTTTGTGGATGCTCTGTCAAATGTTATAAATACGCCTGCATTATGCGCCCCGATTCTGATGAATGGGTGTCCAACAAATCTCCCCCCACTCTCCAACCCACCAGGCTCCCTTGGCCAGGATAAACTGACCTGGTTGCCATCGAACGGAACGGTGTTTGGTGCTTGGTCTGCGCATAACAAATGGCCAGCAGATAACAATGGATGGTGGGTACAAAAGCGAAGAGGAACCAACTGAAGGGTTGTTCAAGTGCCAGCCAACCAACCAGCCATCCAGCCATCGAGGGAGCCTGATTGAGGTCCCTTTCATATCCCGTTCAGCATGGATCGATGGTGCCTATAAATATGCATGGGTATATGTGGCAAAAAAATGCTGCATTTTATAGAATAAATGCGGCCTCTCAATTCAAGTATTTTCTTTCTTCGCCAAACTCTATCTTAAAGCTCTTCCGTTTGGCCAACAATCAGATGTTTCACACCGCCTGGCAAATATGTTTAATTGAGCGTAGACTTTACAGTTTTTAATTTTGCCAAATCTGTCACCAAAGCAAAGAGCCAACGACATTTTCTGCCCGATAAAGGGCGTCACATAAATTACTCCGAAAGGAGTCTCCCAGGGCTGTCGGACTACAAAGTGACATATGAGGCAGTCCGGGACCCGAACTTTGTCTCATTCTACACTTTGCAAATAAAAACAAATTTGGAATAATGCATCATGTCAATAAAATATTTCTTGTATTTCTTTTATCAGAAAATCAAATTGGTTAGAAGTCTATAAAATGCAAATAAATACTAAGAAAATATATTTAAGCCTTTAAGAACTAAAAATACAAATAAATTCAAGTGTAACTCTGAACGAAGTCGTTATTTTTGGACTACAGCTTCATTTTCTGTCCGTCCAGCAATCACAATTTCTGTCTCCCGTTCTCTCCATTTTGGGAGCCATTGTGTGTGTGTGCTTTTTAATTTTGGACCAAGCGAAACAAAGTAACGCAAATACTTTGAAAGACCGAGAAAATAACCAGAGAGCAAAGACACGAGCATCCCGGTTAGCTTGTCAAACATGACCATTGCCATTGCCAGGCCACAAATCCATGTGATGTCTCCTGCTGTCGTCTTATTTCTCTTAGATCTACGCTTCGCTGCACATGCAAACGTTTGCCAAAAAAGAAAGAAAAAACGAGCCCACGACCAAGGAAAATGAGGAAAGCCAAATGGAAGAGATGTTTGTGTCCCGCTCACATACACATGCCCAAATAACTCATACGCCATGTCGTCGCTTGTCCTCGCCTGTGTCCATTTGAGTGCACAATTTGAAAAGGCTACTTGCCTTGCTTTTGGCCTTGGGGCCTCCGCTGCAAGAAGACGCCAACAACATTGCATTGTCAATTTATGTCCGCTAGTGTGAGTGTATGTTTCTTATTGTACACAGAGGAAAATATTAGGTCATATTTAAAGCCAGTGAAATGATAATAAACCTTGGTATGTCAGCTAGCTAACAATAATACCTACACGCAAAACTAAAACACGTCGGGGTCAAATCGATATGCGCATGGTATATTTCTAGTATTGCATACGCATTCGAACTGACATGTTGCTTACATTTCGAGCATATCGAATTGAGGGTCCAGCATATTAACTCAGTAATATTAAGTCATATTAATCAATCATCGTTGATATCAAGTTTTTTTTTGGGTGCAAAGGACAACATACCTGAAATATAATAGAAATCCTTTTTTCTCTCACTGCATTTGTGTGTGCATTAAAATCGTTGCAACATTGCTGCAGTGAAAGCCTTGTCGCTAATGGGCCGAGACTTCTTTTGAGCTCTCATCGCTGACTGAGAAGGAATAATGCCACCAAGGCAGACATCTGAAATCGGTAATCTGAAATCTGAAAAATCTGTAAGCCCGCTCTCAAAGTAAAAATACTCAGCTTTTCATTGAAATTTTGTATGGATTTATTTGGTTGAGTTCATTCAGTTGTTTGCTGTTCAGTTTGTTTCTTGTGTCTCAAGTTATTATTGTATTCCTTGTATTCATTGGGATAGGGGAGGGGTATTTTCAATATCGTTTCGAGTGCTTAATAGTTACATACATTCATAATTCATTTGTAGAGTATATGCCTTGCTTTAGACTAAATCATTAGTATATTTTACAATTATTTTTTATGGCTTCGTTTAGATGTTAAATTAGCTACACTTAGTTTTTAGATTCATATTGGTTGGAACACTTACATGCAGAAATATACGCATAGATGATGACCGACCTAAATATGTACGTTTGTTTGTATATCATTCTAATTGATGTAAGAGAAATCACTTGTTTCTTTTTTTAGTTTTTGTTTATTTTTTGGTTTTTGTTCTTTTTGTCTTAACTAGCTTGAAATGGAAATTGCCTTTGCCATGCTGGGCCATTATTCTGTCTATTACAATTACAGCTCAACTTGTTGTTTAGAGAAGTATAGCTTTTGTGTATTCACTTCTCCATTCATTAAACACAAATATTAAAATGTAACAATAATTTACAAGGTGCATTTATTTCGTTATTTTTTATACCTTTACACAGTTCAAACATTGATTTATACATTAAAGAGAAAAAATACAATTTGATATATAAATGCAATTTACAAACAACAAATTTCCCCTTTATTTTTCTTTATCTGGTTTTTGTTATTTTTTGTTTTCAAAGTTTACATACCAACGATAGGTCCTTGTTGTGTTTTCTTTTTTTTTTTTTGTTATTTATAGTCTTTTGGAGTTTCTCGTAAAGAGTGCGCAACTAATTTACATTCATTAGTTTGCATCGCTTTTGTTTGATTTGCTTTTGGGTTTTGTAAAATAAATTTGATTTACGATTTTGCTATTTACACATTAATACTTAGTATTCATTTATGCTAGGCTAATTGCAGCTAATTTGCGTGTTTTTAAGGTGTGAGTGTTCGTTTTATTTATACTGTTTACCATAGATTCGAATAATGTAATTTATTTTCAATATAATTGCCAAGAAGTTGCGCCTTCGCGTTGCTCGCCTATCTTTGGTTGAGTGAGTGTGAGCTTTAAGTCTATTATATCAAGGATATACTTACTAATTATATGCTAGATGTATGCGATCTTTGAGCCTAATTGCTAAGAACTGCAGCCCTTTAAGTGCCAGCTGACATTTACAAACATTTACAAAGTCTCCTTGGAAAATCAATTCATACCTCTCGCTTGTGTGGATTAATCTGTTGAAAAAATATTGCATAGACTGTTTGTCCATCTGAGTGCTTACTGTAAGGAAGGAACATTCTTCTTCTGCTGCATCATTTTCTTGTAGACCTAAAAAACTAAATTTCTCTGGCTGCGTTAAAAATTTGTCTCTTTAAGTGGGCACGGCACTGCTATAAATAATGTATTCTTCTTCTCTGCCTATGCTCAGTAATCGATTTTGATTTATTAATATTATTACTGGATTGCTGAATTTATTGTTCAAATATTTATGATGCTTTACGGTTACGTGTAAATAATAGTCTCATTTTTGTAAAAAATAAACAGTTTAAATTACAAACACAGTTGCCAAATATTTTCAGATATTTTATAGTCGAATATTAAAACTTGGGCCTATATAAAAACAATAAAATAATTAAAGAGTTCAAACAATTGGAAGTAGATGGTTGACAATAGATGTGTATTAAAAAATTTGAATGATGTTCAGAAGATTTAAGGGATAATATGGCAGCCTTGCGTTAGGGTTTGCTTCTAAAAAATATTCAGTTCCTCGACGAGCACACAAACGATACCATACCATTCCATTCGCTTCAATTCTCCTCAATGCTGCAATTTAATTCAATTCAATTCGTTTTGGCAACACTTAGCCTAGACACCAACCACGAAGAGCTCAAGACTTACATGACTAGTTAATCGTTAGTTAATTTGGGATCTGGGACTGGGAACTGGGTACTTGGGCGGTTCGGATTGGATAAATCCACGGGTGCCTGGGAGACCTTAGACGCAACTCTCCTGCTGCGAATACATGAGCGGGGTGCGAACGGTGACGATTTCGCGCGAATAGGACTTGCCCACGCCCGAAAGTCCCGATAATGAACTACTGGGACTGGCCACTGCCGCCGTGGTGGAGGCCAATCCACTGCTGTTGCTCGAGACCAGCATTTGGCCATGGGCCATTTGCTGCTGCTGCTGATGATGATGCTGCTGCTGCTGATTTTGCTGGTGTTGCTGGTAGGAGGGCGGCATGTTGGACGCAGGATGGTGGTGCAACTGCTGCTGCTGCTGCTGCATCATTTGCATCATCGAAGCGGAGTTCTGCGGACCGCCCGCCAGCTGCTGCTGTGCGTGATGATTGTGCGGCAGAGTGTGGTAGCCGCCAGGATGCTGGGGCAGGGTGTACATCTGCACGGTGCCGGGCGAGACGGTGGAGGGTGTGCCGTGCGAACCGGGCGAGGAGATGCCCTCCCTCAAGCCCGAACCAGCTGCACCTGCCTGCCCGGCCGTGTCCACCTGCATCGTCTTGTACGCATCGATTTGCGCATATATCGTCGGTTCCTCAAAGTAATCGTAGTCGTACGTGGGCGGCGGAGCGTGCTGGTGCGGATGCTGCATTCCGCCCGCATTTGGCTTGTGGCGCTGCAGGGTCGCCGTCGCCGGAATCGTGGGCAGCAGCTTCCGCATACTGGACCCGTGCGGCAGGGTGCCACCCATCAGGGGGTGGGGGTGTTGCACCTGACCCTGCTGCTGCTGCTGCACCACCTGCTGCACCACCCCCGGCTGCCCCTTCTTGGAGGCGCCACTGCTGCCGGACGGCATGTTGTTCAGCGACAGCTCCGCGTAGTGCAGCTCATCGTCCTGCGGGGGGGAAAATGAGTGAGGTAGTTAATAACTGTCATCAGAGGTCTGCCAGGAATTTTAAAGGCACACAGCTGGATTGAAGTGTACAGTCGAAACCCCAAAAGGGAATTCTTTTCGTCACTCTTTGATATCCTATTTTTAATGTCTATTCCCATTTCCTTTAAAAAATCTAAATATTTATTATTTCAATTTATAATTAAACTCTAAGTTGTCGCAAACTTTATTTAAACTTCATTTATTAAAATGAACTTTATTTATTCAAATAAACTTTATTTTATAAAATTAATAATAATAAAAAGTACTATTCATCAATTAGGAAAATACTGTAGAAAATGCTTCCTTCTTTACATTTCTCCTGATTTAATCAAATTGTTTTCAAAGGCATTAGGGTTTTCCGGGAGTTCTTAGAAATGAGCTACACAAAATCAAGGCATTTGTCAAGGTAATTACAAGCCACACAAATTTCAATTAAATTTAAAAACAACCAATTTGGCCTTCCAAGAAAGAACAGGTGAACACAGGCAAGATAGCTCCTTAAGGGAGATACCTTCCCCAGGGTGAAGCAGAACGGATTCTTTGCAAACTGTTCTCCGGCAGGGCTATAATCACAAGTTTATTTTCTAATCTGGCCCAAATTGTTTTCAAGAGCATTAAGATTTTCGCAAGAAATTTGCGACATCAAATCAAAGCATTTGTCATGGCAATGTTGTTGGCACTCGGGGGAGTGCTGTTCGTCATAGAGTAGTTCGACTGTAATTAAAACTTTTCGGTGGCCAAAAGTTTTGGGCCGACTGGCGGCTGCCGACTCACCTTGCTGCTCTGATAGGTGCCACTGTCCGCCGAGTTGGCCGGGAGGATTCCGGTGCCGGATGTTGAGCCCGGCTTGCAGCTGATTTCCACCTCGCTGGTCGTCGAAAGATGTCCCGATGGCGTTTGTGTTGCTGATTTTTGTTTATATTCGCCATCAACTGGATGGAAATTTTCAGATGGGGGGGAAACGAAACCAAACGAAACGAAACAGAATGGAGAACGCTTAGTTAGTTCGAAAAGTTTGAGCTGGCCATCGTCGTTTGCGTCGTCGTCGTTTCTGTTTTGTTGTTAAGTAGCCAGAGAGCAAGGCAAAAGTTTCTGGCCCGGCCGACGCCCTCAAATCTTTTGGTGATTTTCGGCAGCAAGTTTTCTTCCTGCCCAATTTTCCCACCGCCTTGGCTTTCGCAACAGCAGCTTCCTTTACTTTACTCTACTTTTTTTGGCCATGAAATTGCTTTACGTTTGGAAAATTGATTAAATTGTTGTGCTGTGCTGGTCTCCTTCTGCTTTTGGCTGCCGCTTGATTTCTTGATTGCCATTAATCAAGCGAGCACGTGCAGTGAGTGAAATTGCTGCTGCTTTAGCTGCTTTGGCGAAACTCCACCCCTGTTTTTCTGTTTAAAGGGGTCTTTAAGGCCCTCGACTGCAGACACACGAGCAAACAAGCTAACCGGCGAGGACCTGACAGCAATTAGCTGTCATTTAAATATTTCAGCACTGGCACAAAAATGCAGCCAGCTCTTCAGGTCCTGTTTGTTTTGCCTGCATGAGCCGAACGGCCTGTCAAATGCATTTGCATAAGGGGAGGCCTCAAGCCAGCGTCCATAAATTGTGAGCAGAACAGAAGCCCGGGCAGACGCCATTTATCTTGAGGGGACCGGAGCCAGAAACCAGAAAACCAGAGGGATGGGGTTACAGAGTTACGGGGAACTTACCCTCATTGTAGGGGACAACATCGGGATTCTTCTCGTCGTACATCTCCTCGGAGTGACTCAATGGCAATGAGATTTTGTCCTTAATTTGCAAATTGCCCGGACGTGAGAATTTCGCATTCGGATGTACGAATTTCTGTTGCTGCTGGTGCTTGTGCGAGCGCAGCTTCAGTGCGGCAATGGTGCCGATTCCGATGCACACGATGGCCACCAGAATGCCCACGAAGATGCCAATCGAGAGGATCGGTGTCAGCTCAAAGTTATCCGGACTCTGGGCGCTGCCCTTGTACGAGGTCAAGGCGACTGCAAAGGTAAATTGGGTGGAAATTGTAAGTAAAAACAATAAAATTGTATTTTATTTAAATTAAATAAATAATAAAAAACAAATAGTAAAAATTATGTACTTTCTTTTTTTTTTTTTTTTTCTATTTTATATTTTGTTAAATATTTTCAATTTAATTTGATTTTTTTCTTTATTTCCCTTTATTTAGTACATTTTCTATTTAATTTTAATAAATTCTTTAAATCTTTAAAAATCATTGCGTACTTTTGTTTCATACCCCCATTCAATTCTAACTTCCTGTCCCAGCAATGGAGACTAAAAACCATTCCTTTGACTCAATGAATCCTCTGCAAATGCTGATCATAATCAAGCTTAACCTTTGCTCAGAGCATCCACTCTTTGACCTAGCCAAGACAATTTTCTTTTCTGATTTCCATCTCTGGCTGGCTTTCCTTCTGTTTGCTGTTTGCTTTGCACTTTTCCCCGTTGCCATTGCTCCGACTGACTTTATGAAAAATTGAAATGTCGGCTCAAGTTGTTTACACAAAATGTGACTGCCCCTCCGAGTTGCTCTTCCCGCTTTCCGCTTTTCGACTTCCTTTCCTCCTTTCCGCCCTCAAAAAGGGAAATGTACAAAAATGAAAATAAAATTCTAGTCAGCTCTTCCTTTGGCTAATTAGCATTACAATTTCCTTTTTCGTTTAGACCCCTTACCCTCAATAAAGAACTCTCCTTCCGCCTTCTGCCAGTCCCAATTCATTAATGCTAATCATTTCAGATTTTTTGCGCTACTTTGTGGGGGCTGCATAAAAATTTGCGTTTACTGTCCCCAAACTGCAGGCGAAAGTTTTGTGTCGCGAAATTTACAATTCATTGAGCAGTTTAGCGTAATTAAATTGCGAGGTGGCATAATAATCATAAAACCCGGAACAATCTTTGGCGGGAAACTGATACAGAGGCTTAGCCGAACGCAAAGTTATTTCGTTTTGTGCAAAAGAGAGTATAAGTCTTGATATTAGCATAAAAAATGCATAAAACATCAAAGTCACTGGAAGAAAAAGAAGGCAACTTTATTTACCTATAGATATATAGTCTTTATAAAAATAAACTTAACTAATTTTCAAGTTCTATATTAAATATTCTAAAATATTTAATTTACAGATATTTTTTTAAGAACTTTGCAGATTATTTTACCAGTTTTCTCATAATGTTAAATACTTTAAAAATTCATTGTTTTTAAGGGTGGTATATCGTCACTTACCAGTCTGCTTCTCGGCCGCCTTTAATGTGTATCCATCAAGGGCTATGGCATCGCTGCGTCCGCGTCCATTAACGGCATACACATAGATCCTAAACAAGCGCCCGGCATCCAATCCCGTAACGCTCAGGGCCGCAAACTTGGCACTGATGTTGGCCTGCAGCTGACCGCTGTGCTGATCGAAGATTTCCATGAGGAACCACTGCCGCATCCCGCCATCGAATCCTGCGGAAATAGAGGAAGACAGCGATTGCATAACTTGTCACGAACTGGGGCTTACTTAGCATATTGGCTGGGATTCGCAAGGGGACGGGACTTTGAGCTTATTAATATTAAGTAGTTGCCAATCGACGGCGGGTCTTATTTATACTTTGCTTAGGGGTTTGCCCGGATTTATTTATGACTCCAAATGCTTGGCCAGGACTTTTGTTTGTGTATTTCTTTGATGCCAGGTACAACAGATAAATGGCATTATCATAATGTTCTTCTGTGATTGGCTAAAAGTTTTAAGCTGCAAAACTCAATCAAAATCAGTTAAAGTTAAGGTACCTTGATGAATATTATTTTTAAGTATTGGAAGTTAGTAAGAAAACCCCATTAAACTTTATAAAACAATTTGATAAGTGCTTTGGGGATAACAACTTATTTTTAGATTTCCCGTTTTCCCTAAGCATGTATCTATTCCTATCTGTTTCAACTGCCTCTTAATTCATAAAGTATTTCCCAGAAGCACTCAACCAAAGGTCAAACCTTTGAGTGGAGCTCACTCGTAATTGAAGGGGCCCTCAACTCTTTGCCGACCGCCGTCGAAATATGTATTCACAGTAATCTAAAGTTACATTTTAAATGCCATTTAATCACACCACAAAAGAACTGGCCAAACCCACTCGAGTTCGCCCCTTTGAGTGGTGAGTGTTGGGTGGAGGGGAGGGGCGGTTTTGGCCAGAAAGTAAGAGGCTAATGTTGGGCCACTTCTTCAGCGGCTGCCTTTGCTTAGCTTTGGCAGCTCAAATGGCACTTCATTGTAGACACAAAAGCCGACTTAAAACACTTGCGAAAAATGTTAAAATATTTTGCAATAAAGGCAGCAACAGCAGCGGCCAGTGAAAAGGTTCTCGGGGGGCGGGCTCCTTCGACCAACTAATTCAGTGGGCCACACGCCCCCGGGCCAGAAGGGAAGGAAATTGTTGTGGAAAATGTTTTATATGTTGCTATGAATTTTAGTTGTTGTTGGCCACTTTTTCAGCCACCCGAATTCGCCGGCACAAAGAAAAAGGGCACGGAAATAGAGTAAAGAGAATGTGCTTGGCCTTTGCCTCAAAGCGTCATTGTTCGGAGGGTGGTTGGGTTGGTGGGTGGTTCGCTGGGTTTATTCCATTCTTATTTTCTACCCTCCTCCTTCTCCTCCTCGTCGGCGGCCATTTTGTGCGCACTTTAAAACGTTTAGCTAATGAAATTTGCCGCAGCTCCGTTGTCAGAGCAAAAAAAAACTTCATTGTAATGGGTTAATTTTATTTACTTGGCTACAGCAACAATGGATGCTGCGCAAGTGGAGTAAAAATAATAAAACAAGAGCGGACACAAGCAGAAGCAGTAGTACACACAGAAAAATAATTCCTAAAATAATTAAAGCTTATGATTAGGTTAATATATACCAATCGAAATGTAGAAGGAAATATGTAAATCGGATTATTCTTTAAAAAGATTAAATACTAGAATGCAAGCAGTGCAAGCAGTCGCTTTGCTAGTGTCGCTGTAGAGCTTGCATATCTCCATCTCTCTCACACTTTCTTTTCCTAAGTAAGAGGGTACTCGAAAATAGCGTTCTGTCTTGTTTAAATTAATAATCCTACAATTTCTTCAATAAGTAAAAAATTTTTTGAAATTCGATATGTTCTTAGAATGCAATTGCTGTTTTTTATATTTCCTTTCCTGCTAAATTAAATTGTTTCCCAGTGCAGCAGCATCGTCAGCAGCGAAGCAAAATGTTATAAACTGAAATTTTATTATATTAAACCGACGCTTGATGAGTTTGGTTAGTTGCCGTTCCCGTTGCCGCTGCCCTGTCAGTTTGTTATATTTTTGTTTTCCGAGCAAAGAAACAGTAGCAGCAACAGTGGCCAACCGAACTTGGCCCCCTAAAGATGTGGAGTTGTCTTCAGCGGCGAACATTGGATTCAATTCGAGTCGGGCAGAGTTGGTTTAAGTTCAGTTCTGTTCGGTTCGGTACGGTTCAGTTTGAGCCGAGTTGAGCTGCGGCGACGGCCACGTCGAGTTGAGTTGGCCAAGTTGCGTGCTGGCTTATTAAAGTCGACCGCAGCTAAAGTTGAGTTATTATAAAAACAAACGACCAAGGGCTGTGGGCGGGGTTTCAGCAGTCGTTCGCCTTAATGTAGAGTGCAATATAAAAAGTATCGCATTGTGCGCGCTACCCTGATCCTGATGCTGCTGCTGCCGCTGCTCTTGTGTTGTGCTTAAACAACTTGCGTTAAAGTTTTAATGATGCTGATGACTATGATAATAATGTGGAGCCACTAAATTAGCAGCCTCAGGGGCGGAAGAGGGAGCGGAAGTGGGAGTGGCAGTGGGAGAGATGCGGTAATAAGGCGAACAATGGCTTTTCGACGGAGAGAGGGGAAGATGGGGTGGTAGCAGCTTAAAGCCATCACTGCAGTGCATACGTAATGATACCTAAAGTTCGGTCATCAAGTATACGCAGTGTAGTTGCTAACCGACAGATAAGTAAATGATTTAGAGATTACTTTAAGAGTACCGAGTTTACATATTTTTTTGATTTTAGATAGTGTTAATTAGATAAATAAGTATTAATATTGCCTTTTAAATAAAATTAAAACCCCTAAAGATGCATTTATTACAAAACAAATTAATAACTAAAATTGCAATATTTTAAATTGAAACTTTAAAATTTTAACTGACTTTATAATTAAAGATTAAATACATAGAATGATTACTACCACAAAAGTTAACCCAGACGGCATTTCAAACGTAAAAATGGAAAAGCTCAAGCATTTCCGTGCCAAGTCTCGTAAATCGCAACAATGAAGGCATTGCCAAGGAATTTCCCAGCATTTTCCCATTCTGCAGCGCGTAGTAATGCAATTACACATTACGCATACGCGGAGTGGGCAAGCACTTGAGACAACATTAAGTAAGCACAACAATTGCGATTGCCAGCAATTGGTGGAAAACATTGAGCGCTTTAAGCGGTGCGGAGGGGGACTAAAAAAAGAGAAAAGAAAAGTGGAAAGCGGGGGCGTAACAAACAGTAACGGGAAAGAGCGCTATTAAGTATGCAGTTATTATGCGCTTTTTGTTGCACTTCTTGCAGCAGCCGCCTCGTTATGCAACGCTTTGATTTGCGTTGCCTTTTCGCAGGATCCGCTTGCCTTTCCCTCCGGTTTCCCCCGGTTTTCCCCCTAGTTTTCCCTCTGTCTCCGGTTCGGCACTCAAGGACTGCATAAATGCATCATAAGCTCAGAGCTGCTGCAATTTGCGAGGACATTTCTCTGTCTGCGCTAATGTGCAACTCTATCGCTGCGAACTTTGAACTCGGGGACTGCAATTTGTGCTGCTTATTTTGCGCTTTGCTGGCATTTTTCTGTCTTTGCGTTTTCCACTCTTGCGCTGCGCATAAAATATGCGAATTGAATTTGTATTTAAAGTTTCCGCTCTCCTTGTGCTTCTTCTTGTTCTTGGGCAACTGTGGAAGGCAGCAAGTTGCCTAACAAGCCAAAACATTTTGTATGTACAAATTTGCGCTTAACTTTCGGCCGTGCCTTCAGCTCCTTCGGCTCACTGTTCATCACTGGGCTGCTTCTATTTTATTTATTACTGAAAATTTTAAACTGGAATTGAAATTTTAGCAACATTATTTCTAACCCCTCCCGCTGCCTGCCCTCTTTAGCCATTCTACGATGCGTTTCCTTTCTAGTTTTATGCTTTCATTGCGTTTTTATTATTTGTGTCTGCATCACGAAAGGAAGTTGGCTCTGCTTTACGATACTGTGGATGTGTGCGGGTATACGAATACGAATCGGTATCTGTATGAGTATGAGTGGATAGACATACTCGTAGATGGCTGCCAAAGTGCACTTAAGTTGCTCATGTATTTTAAATGAGTCTGAAAAGCGTTGCAGGAAACTCAACATATACACGTTACATTGCTCGCACACTCGTGCTCATGCTGCAAAGGAAGTCTCAGGACATGACCACTCCCCCTTTTCGGTCTTTTTGGCCCTGTGCAACACCCAACGCCCACTGCCGCCCCCCATTGACCAATGCCTTTTTCGGCCATTGATTGGCTCATCAGCAATTATAGAAACAAAAAGGAAGAGCGACCGAAACGAATGAAAAAGGGCAACAAATTGGCTAGCAATTTGACGTATATGTATATATGTAGGATCGTATTCTATGGGTCATATAACTCACCTTCAATGCAATAAACCTCCAGCGAGTCGGACGTTTGATTGACCACCGTACAATTGGTGGGCGCTTCCGGTTTGCCAGCGGCTATCAAATGGAACACACAGGGCTCCTTCTGCTGACCCACATTGTTGTCGGCCCAGCACATGATGGTGCCAAAGTCCATTTCCTGCAAAAAGCGTAGGAGACAGCGTTTCGTCAATACTCAATGGCTGAACATGGGTTAAAAATAGACGCCACACAAAGAAAATCATTAAAGTAGGTCTTATAAATATCATAGTCATCGAGTTATTCGGTTAACAGTAAATATGATATCGTATATGCTCCCATAAAAATATTATTTTTAAATGTATGTAGACTTTCGGTAGTATTTTGGGAGAAATAAAAAATGTTCAATTTTATTTTAAAATGTTTTAAGTATAACTAGCATTTTTATAAAATATAATATTATTTTCTGCCAGTGCAGCTACTTGAATTTATCTCTTGGACACACATTTAAATGGAATTCAAGCAGCCGCGCTCGACATCAATGTGAACTTAATTCATTAAATCAATATGGATACGGGCCAGTGTGTTGTCAGAGTTGCCCCTGATTGATTGCAGCTGTCAATAAGTTTTTCATTAATATAATTTCATGTCATGTCAATGCAGAAAGGCCAAGGAGAAAGGCGGAAGGAAAAATGCCTGGCAGTAAAAACAAATGAAGCATTTTGTGGTTCCCCCCACGGCCATCACATCACATCGATATACGTATCCCCATATATATATTCGTGCGAATTGTGGGCGAGGAAGGAAGTCATGTTAACATGGCCCTAATGCCTGTCTATCCCATTGTAGCCCAGTGCTAAGTGGCCGCCTGCGGTCTTGGCCATTGTTTGTCCCTCTTGTTTATTTGTTTGCATTTTGTCAAATGTTGTGCTAATGAAATCCTTCGTCTCCGGTCAAGTGCACACACACCCACCAAACTAGTGAACCGTTCGCATTCGCATTCGTATTCGCTCACGTCCCCAACAATCGATATCTCCATATCATTGTTTCTTTGTGGGGCGTGTTTACCTTTGTCCTTTCCCATTTCCCACTCACCATTTCCCGTTGACTGGGAGCCCCAGAATCAACGCACTTAATCAACTTCAGGCGGCCCGGCCTCATTAAAAATTGAAATCACTTTCGGGTGCACGGCGAAATGTCAACGCAAATTGCAGCTTATTTATCAGTCCGCACGCGTTTTAGCCGCCTCTCTTTGCTTTCGCTATCTTTTCGACTCGCAACTGGGCGTGGCTGTCATTTTAATTAGGGCAAGAAAAGAAAAACCGGGGGAAAAAACGGAACACGCCAAAGGGAAAGTTTGCTCACAGCCTGGGGAGAAGTCGAGATTTATGGAAATCGGGGAATGGGAAGGTTCTTTTTTTTTGGATTTTCCTTGATGGGAACTCCAATCATCTAGAAAAAGAGTTGGAAATTCCCCAGCACTGATTGATCATCTAGTCAAGCCTATGGCTTCCTTTCTAATAAAAATCGATTGATATTGCTATTAGGCTCTTTATTGAGTTCACGAGACACAAATATCAAATCAAGTTATATTGATTCGATTTTTATAAAATGAATTCATCATTATTATTCAAAATATTTATTTCATACCAATTATAAAAAGAATTGGTAACTGTTATTGCATTAAATCTCTGTCATACTATATTGTTTAAATATAAATTAAAACAAAATATGATAGTTGCATTATCTCTATTGAATAAATAATAAAAATCAATTATTTACTCTATTTTCGTTGTCAAATAATTGTCAATAATTGAATTTCGCCTTACCATTTTAATTGTGACATTAGTATTCTCTCTTCTGCCAATTAAATACAGAATTGAAACTAACTATTAAAATAAATAGAAGCTTCTTTTCCCTGAGACTAACTGGATTAAATCGAAATTAAAACGAATTTCAAGCCCCGCAACTTTCTTTGTGAATAAACAGTTTTACCTGCCGTCCGGAAAATAAATTGCAAATATTCTGTAGCCTTTGACTCATAATTTAAGCAACAGTGCTTATGCAAATTTATGACAAATTTATGAAAATTAAAATAGGTATTTATGTGTGTGTGTTTCTGTTGAGTCAGCGCTTGTGTGTGCGGCAAAAGTGTTTTCACAAAGGCGCCAAGTTGGCAGCTGCCAACACTGCGCATCAACACCAACGGGCCAAAAGGGAAAGTGGCCGACTGCAGCAGGAGCTACGACTATATAATAATGGAGCTGCCAGGACCAAAGGCACATAGTCAGAAATTGCCTGGCATTTTAGCATTTTAAGTAATAATCAATGTGGGAGATGCACAGCACGCTCTGCTTTTTCTATTTGCAACTGTCATCGCCCGGGCCGACAATCCTTGATAATTTCTGCTGCCTGGGGCCCTTGGAATTTATGCCCCTCTATTTATTATGATTATTTCATTTTGTTTATATTGTTCTAATGTTGCGCCAGCAAAAGAGTAAATATTGTTGCAGGAGCAGCAGCAACAGTAGCAGCAGTAGCAGCCGTAGAAACGAAAACAAAATACATAAAATATTTGTATGTACGATATCTAGCAACGTATACTTGATATTTTTCCATGTGTGTGCATCTGTGTGTGTTTAAGGGCCCTAAAGAGGACAAAATGCCACTTCTAGGCATTGCATTCTGTGCATTTCGTTTCCAGTCAAGTCTGCTGTTATTATTTATGCATTTTAATTAAAAATTTAAACATTTAAGTGACATTTTAATGAGTTTCTTGCACTGGGGTTCACACAGAGCGTCAGAGCCGTGCTCCAAAAAGCCGAAAGCCCGAAAGACCGAAATTTATTTTTGTGAAATATTTGAGAAATTTATATGTCAGCAGCGGAAATTGCTTGACATGAAAGCCTGGCAAAAATTGCTCTGCTCACACATAGAAAATAGCAATGGAATTGGGAAAAAAATGTGGGGAAATGGAGAAAGAGGAATGCCCATGCACAAAACAAAATTAATGAGCTGTTGGCTGCCTTTGAGCAAATCGCTCGGGTAGGAAGAAAAAAAATGAAAAGAAATTGGGGGAAAAACCGAAAAGAAGAAGAGAAATCCCAACCGAAATGTGACGACGTCGACGTTTGAGCTGCGGTTGGCGGAAACCGGAAACAGCATATATGACAACAGAACGGAAGGGATTTTTCATATTCAATTGAGCTAAATGATTTATGTCTGTGTGTGTGTGTCGGCAGGGTGTAAGTGTACATGTGTGTGTGTGTCCAATCAGTGCTGTGGACGAGTGTTTGTGAGCGGAACTCATTTGAATGCCGTTTGACTGCCTCGCAATTCGTTCGTTTGATCGCTGAAATGTAAGCCGAGGTTGTCGCAGCCAGTTTGATTAGTTCCATACCAAAAAAATAAAAAAGAAGGGGGCGAAAAATAAAAGAAAAATACGTAAAAGAGACGAAAAAGCACGGAAAACTGCAGAAGGAGCCGCAACATTTTAAACTGGGTCAGCTAGAAAAACCAGACGGAGCGAAGGACCCTAAACCAAACCAAACCAAACCAACTGGGTGCCATGCAACTTGAACAACTGTGTTGAGTGCCTCCTTTCAGCAAACCCCTCCTCCGCCCTTCTACCTTCTACCCAATGCCATTTACAGCATCCCGTTGCAGCTCCTCCACTGTCATCGCATAATGGCAGCCATGTTGGCTTACAAGCGACCACAAGCCCAGTCCGAAAAACTTAACACGTTTGTGGTCAGACAGCCAAGCGGAAATGTAGGTGGCGGCCGGCTGATGGGCAAAATCTAGCCATGAAAAATCTCTGGCAGGCGGTGGCTTGGTCTTCAGGATCCCAAAAAGTGCTCCAATGTTGCGGAGATTTTTATGAAAACTCCATACAACTTAAATGTAATCACTTGTTAGGAATTACAAAAGAATATTATCACTCGTAGAGTCTGGCGCACAAAAAAAAAAAAATGCAACATTGTTGTTCTTATTAATACCTTTTGAAATAAAGAACAAATTTTTCAAATTTTTTTCAAGTCATTAAAAAGTTATGAGCAAATAATAGAATTCAAGCTGTGCAAGCTGTCGCATTACTTCATGCAGGTCTCTATTACTATGTTTATACGATGAGATTCACGATTTCTTAAAAGCGCGATCTAGAAATAACCCCTGTTTATACGACAGCCGAGAATTCATGCTTTTATTCACTCTCAGCTGATAGGGATGCCGGACCGGTAAAAATAGGTGATCATTTCTAGAGAAATAGCCTATGAAGGGGCTTCAATTTCTAGCGATGTGGCAACGCCGATCATTTTTTGAAGAGTTCCCAGATCTCCCTATCACCAAATCACGCTTTTAGGCTGAAATCATAGTCAACTTTCGTGTGTTGCCGAATTCACGAAATGGCGTTTATACAAGCACGAATCGGCCGAAAGCGTGAAATGATAGCGTGAATTCGGCATCGTATAAACACAGTATCTATGGCTCTCTTTTTATTAATAACAAAATACCAAAATAAATTATTTCTAGACTGTCATTTTACACCACTTGATTTAAAGTCCTTATGCCTTATAAAATGGCAAAGCTGCCAATTTCGATAGACAGCTTCACATGCAACTATGTTTTGGCTGACCGTAAAAATTTACACATCAGCCAAAGCACCATCTGCTGTCGAGAGACTGACATGTGGAATAGGAATATCAAATGCAAAAACCCGAAATCCCAATGATTCGGACGGTGATGGCAGTGCAGCTCATTGATGGCCAATTTGCTTGGCCAATTGCTGGGGAGGAGCGCCGAAAACTGCAATCGCAATAGCTGTTGGCCATTGGGGCTATTAATGCCGAAATGTTGCCAAAGAGCGACAGAGACGGGTCAAGTCCAAGAGAGAGATCGAGAGAGAGATGTGGAAGGTGCTTAGCTTTATCCTCTTCATTTTGGCCAATGATGATAACTATTAAAGTCAATGGCATTTACTTCCAATAATTTTCCTGCTCTTTTGTGCTAGCTTTTTTGTTTTTCCCATCCCTCCCTCCAATAACCTTTGACATTCGATGGTGTTGTTGCGGACGATGATGATGGTGATGTTGATGGGGCGGTGGCACTGCTGCTATTGGATTTTTAATTAGAAAGCAGTGCTAATAGAATTTTTAATTAAAATCGCTCGACTGCCCCGAATGGCTGGCTGTTGTCTCTATCAGGAAGGACTTTGCTCCACTTTACTTTCCCTGTTGCTGGCTGACAACATGACACGCACACAGGCCAAAATAAATGGCAACAACCATGTGACCCGCCTATTAATTAAAATTTTTGCTATTCAATAACAGACAACCCCCGTGGAGTTCAATGGTAACTACCATGCACTGAACGAATAATATTGCTTTATGAATTTTAAATTTAAGAGCGAACCAATGTTCCACAATAATATTTTTTTAATATTTGTAATTATTACAAATGTAAATTTCTTTGTTTCTTTGTTTTTATTTAAGAAAGGTAATTTTCTATTTTTACTCATTGTAGAGTAAATTTAAAAATCAAACAATCCATTAAAAAGTTATGAGCAAAAAATGAAACAGTCGCTTATCTCAATCTTCCTCGCACTTTAGCTGGGTATAGGGTATCTGATAGTCGAAGTACTCGACCAAAGTGTTCTTTTTTGTTTGTATATTCTTTTTGGCAATTTTTTCCCCCAGTATGGCCAACAGCCAAAATGTCAAATGTGTCAATAACAATTTCACATTAAAGGCGAACGCCGCGAAATATGAAATGAAAAATTTATCAGCGAGCCGCATGCTTCCACCAGGAATGAATCGAATGTCTGACGTGTTTAGCATTTAACGTGACGAATGGGTCACGCAGCTGCAGACCTCGGTCCTACCGACATTTGTCGGTTCCCAGGCGACTTTCCCGACTCCTTTGGACCTCAGACTCAAGACTTTCGGAACTTACCTTGACGGGCGTGTAGGTGAGGGTGGAACCCTGGGCAGAATGGGGCCGGAAGCCGCTCTGCGGCATGTCGAAGGTCTCCGCCGTGTTGTTGAAGGACCACTTGAAGTTCTCCGGCGGCGGAAAGGCATCCACTTCGCACACTATTTCGGCTGCCTCGTTCCGAGCCACTCCATAGATTTTCTTTTGATCGGGCCGGCAAATTGGCTTATCTGTAAGGCAAAAAGGAAAAAGGCGGGGAAAGCATTCGGTGAGTGCGGAGATCGAAAAGTTGGCTGTAGTGCATTCTGCTGTTTGCATCTGCATCTGCAGCTGGAATCAATAATCGCATAAAACTCTTTGTTTTGGCCTGCCTCTTCACCGGTTCAGAAATCGTAGGAAAGTAGAAAAGTTTACTCTGTTGTGTGCTCACCCCAGCTCCATTTTTGGCCATTCAGGCAGCCAAACAAGCTGAGAATGAAACGGCGTACTGAAACAAGAAGCCGAAAATCATCGAAACGGATGGATCAACAAAAAGCGGAAGAGAACAGCTAATTTTGAAAAGCTTGAATACCTTTGCGGGGCTTCAAGATAAATGAATTGAATTTAAAGGCCAATAAAATGCATCTCAAATGGGAGCTGAATTTTTAAATTCTTTTTTAAATATTTTAACAATATAATCCACATAATTTTCAGAATTATAAATTTAAACCTAAAAATAAATTTAAAAAATAATATTTCTCCCTTCAGAACTCAAATAATTTGATAGCACTACCAAAAGAAGAGTCGAGTGAAAGAAAAACTTTGAGCAGCGAAAACTTTCACCAACAGCAAGGGAAAATGCCAGGAAAAGCTGAGTTGAGCAGGCCAGGGAATATTCAATTTTCTAATCCTTGGCCAGCGAAAATCTTTCCACTGTCTCTGCCACAGCCACGAAAGTTGCGAAAGTTGCAAGTTGCAAGTGGCGAATTTATTGTGCCATTTGACAACTGTCGATATTGCATGCCAAACTGGCCAAGCCGTAAACAAATTTTTAGCTCAGCTTGGGGAGCGGGGGAATACACTGTCAGAAAAGGGGGATGGGATGGTGATGGTGACGAGGGAAACGCCAGTTGGACTCTGAGTTTTGTGGCCAGCGGAAGCTCTGCTTAAAACAAAAGCCCGGCCAGCTCAGAACAGAACAGAAAAAAAGTAGAAATGGAAGAGATAAAAGGGAAATGGCACCGGAAAAACCAAAGCATAAGGCCACAACGGCAGACGGAGTGGCTAAAGGTTAGGGTAGCGAAAATGAATAGAAGCATCTCTGGCCTGCTAAATTGCTCGAAAAAGGCAAACTAATTAACCAAAGTTTGACTCTAGACGGGGCCAAGTTCAGGAATCCGGCACAAATTGAGCAGAAGATTTGCGATCCTGTCCTTTAAGAGCAGAGGCCCCAAAACAAACTTAAGCTGAAGGCCCAAACACTTTAAAGAGTATAGATACTTAGGGAAATGTTTTGTATACCCTTTAACACAGTTATTTTGAGTGTTTGAGACTCGTAAATCTATTTAGATAATTTAGAAAATAGTACCTACATTAAAAAAAGAAGATAAAATGTAAAAATGTTTTCAAGTAAATTAGTACAAAAAAAATATTTTATTTTATTTTAAATGCTCGATTCTTAGTTGGGTAGTGAAGTCTTTCTTTCAGTATTGCGCCACCAAAGTTCGAAGCGAAAGATTGGTGCTTGTGAATACGCTTTACTCTTTTCGCAGATCCACTTTTTCGCCCTGTCCACAGCTCGGCGGCACACAAAGGAGCATTCAAGCAGGGCACAATAATGGGGCGTATACGCAATAAAACTGCAAGAGGCCCGCACGAGCGCACAATGCCGGGAGTTCTCCGCTGTTTGCCATCCATCCTCATCTCTGGCCATACTCGAACACTCAATAATGCTCGTTTTTGTGTGTCAAAGGTCCACTCGAGAAACCAAACAGCAGCAGCAGCGGCAGCAGGAGGAGAAAGAGGACCAGCGAGAGCGAAGAAGGATTTAAGTGGGTGGTTTTGGGCCGCAATTCGATTTTCTATTTAAGCCTCCGCCGAAGCATTCGTTAATGGCCCGAACGCAGCAGTTCGAGGGCGTTTTTATGGGTCAGCCAACACAACAATGCGAGGCGCACAATGGCATGTGTGCTGAGGTGCCACAAATCAACATATTCCGCAAATATCCCTGGCCACTCAACGCGATACTCACACATCACTTTCAGCTCGACCACATTGGAGTCCCCATCGCCCTCCACATTCGAGGCGGTGCAGGTGTAGTTCCCCGCCTGGTGACGAGTGACACCCTGGAGGGCCAGATCTCCGCTGCTCACGATAACGCCCGCTCGCTGGTTGTGCTGGATGATTTGGTGCTGCAATTGACAGGATTAAAAATAATTAAAAGGATTGCGGGAGAAATGTACGTAAACTAGAGATAAAACGATAGGGAGAGAGAGAAAGAGCTCTGTTGGCCAATGCTAATTAGATTTTATTCATCTCGTAATCTGCTGATACCTGCTCTAAGCTGGCTGAGTATGCTTTTCATAGAAAAAATACTTACCTGGATTTAGTACCTGACAAGAGCTCAGGAATCTATGAAAAATTGGATGATCTAATTAAAAAAAATGTACAAAATGTTCTTATTTAAAAAATGAAATGGGAACTTTTTTAGTAAACTAGTAACTTCTCAGGGATTTCTTTAAAATTAAGTTCGCCTAACCAGCTTTTATTCACTTACATCCTTGGGCTACAAGGTCACCCATCTGCGCACTTTCCGGCCCCCGGAAAATCACTCATAAATGCGCGCATCAGTGAGTTCGCTTCGCAGCTTCATTAGGGAGCTGCGCCTCGGATGGCTACGTGCTTGGCATCGATACTGAAAAATCAGCCGATATTTACTTTAAGTTTTCCCTTAAACACACAAGTCGTTACGCCCACATGCCAAATGCTTACAGAGGCTTGACCTTCTGGCCCCCTTTCTCGCACTTTCGCTCTCATTTTGAAATAATGCTCGGAGCTCGAAGCCCGATGTTCGTCTTTTGGTTTTGTAGCCTTTTCCCCAACAGGCCGGCACTCGACAACATTTTGACGCATTTCCCCAGAGCCTTGTGCCATTTAGCAGCAAAACAAATTCGCACTTTGCCCGAGCTCAGCAAACAAACAGGCGGCGGGAGGTGGGCGGCGGGAATGGGGCGGCAACAATGAAGGCATTGAAATAAATAGAAATAGAAATAAAAATGTATATAAATATGATCGACAAAAGTCAAAAAGCCAGAGCCAGCCGAACAAAGCCTCGACGACCTTAGCACACATCCATACCGAGATGCCTATATCTGGATGTGTGAGCAAATAAATAGAAACAATGCAGCCAGGCAGGCAACCCTACACTTATATAATAGTGTTGTCGACTACACTCGAAAAAGTGTGGCCAACATAATGAATATTTTAAATATGCATTGGAAAAAGTAAATAAGATTTTGAAATACTTGGAATATTTATTTGAAAAATATAGAATGCTTTTTTAAATTAAGATGGCTTATTATTTTAAGAGAATATTTTTATTTCGAGTCAATAATTGTTTATGATAGTTTAAAGTGTACATAATAGGCCAAGCTCTTCTCAGCTGAGAAGATATAGAATCAGTTCGTACTCAAATGCACTGGGAAGGGGGATAAAAGATCCTGGGAATAATATTCCGCGTCTTTTGTATGGTGGCCTGTGGGGTGACCTTTCCATTGTGCAGATGTAAACAGTTATTTCGATGGTTAGACATTCGGTGAATGCCGGGTCACGACAATGTTTGCTCACTACTCACATTTCGGCTATTGAATTCCATTGCCATTGTGTCGGAATGATTGATACTATTGGCCAAGTGTCAGTGCTATCGGAATCAAGATTGCAGATACAGATGTATCCATTACATATGCAATGCTTGGCCGCTATTAGCATTTCCCTCGACCTGTTTAAAGATCCTTAAAGTGCAGAAGAGCCCCAGAGGCGTAGTGTCCCCAGACCATGGAAGGAACCCTGCTCGTTTTCCGCACAGCCTCAATTCCCGTAGGGCCTACTTAAATAGCTCGAAACGGGAACGAGAACGAACTGCGGCTTGGCTCAGCGACCTTGTTGTCATAAAACAAATAAAAATGTCGCCAGGCATATACGAAAAGTAAATAAAGTTCAAGGTTGTCGCAGCCAAAAAAAAGGGAAAAAATAAAGGAAAGGAGACGAACCAAAAAGTGTAAACAAAGGCAAATAGAAGGCTGAAAAGAAGGTGGGCCTGCAGAGCCGTTACGGCCGAGTGGGCGTTGAGGATTATTTCAAATAGTTCGGGGCACATCCGCTGCAGAATTTCCGCCCAACGCCCGACGGCCGAGGTCGCCACCCTACCACCCACTTCCCGCTGACTTGATGATGTCTGCACAACCCTTTAGTGCCCCTCAATGCTAATGGCGCATTTTATGCGTTGCCATTTCTGTTTGTCTGTCTCTCGGCCGTGTTTTCGACTTGTTTGCCAGCCACTCCTCAAGCGCCAAGCTCCAAGAGCCCTGAGCCATGAGCCACAATCCAATCCAAGCCGCCCTCTCCTGGGCGTCTGTCATTGATGTTTGTTCCGACTATAAATACCCAATTAGTGTCCGTAATTTATCTGATGGCTCGGCCTGATTGAGCGGATTTGGTTTAGCCTTTCCCTGGGCGCTTTTTACACGGCTGCTCTCCCTTAAAAATGTTCTCAAGATTTTTAAATTGGTTTTAAGACTTTTTAAACAAATATCCTTTTAAAATAAAATAACAATAGAATATTTTACAATATTTTAGAATAGAATAGAATATTTTAGAAAATGTTTTCAAAAGGGATCAAATCCATTAGTTATTATTATTTAGCTTTGGTAATGTTATTAATTTAAGAAATTACATTTTCTGCAAAGCATTTAAGTAAATATATTATTCTCCAATTATCGAATTCATTTGATTGAAAATATGAATGTTCGTTAACCCGAAACTTTGCTCTTAAGAATTCAAAATAACGCATCAAAACATTTATTTAAATCATTGCAAATTTTGAACTGCCTTTCTGGTCCAACCAACCAAGCATTGCCGTTCGCCATGTAGAACTATGTAAATATTTATGCTCAAGTTGCTGCAAAACTCTAAAGCCGTTTCCACTGACTTTGTTCTCTAATCAAATTTTCCGGCCATGTTTGCTATTTCTGCGGTTCCTGACGCAACTCAGATAGATGCGAGTCTGTGGGCCAAATAACTTTTACTGGCAACAGGACTCGGATTCATTCGGAGCTAGCTAGCTGGTTGCCCTGGCAACGATTCCATCAAAGTTCTGCTCATTCTTCGGTTTGTTGTTGTTAATGAACATGTGAAAACTTTTGCTCGCACGCACATTCCAGAACTTTCACCCCAGTTTTTGCTTGTATGTGTGTGCAAGTTTAATAAAACTAATTGTTAATTTAATTTGCCAGCTCGTCGTTAATTGTCAGCTTGTCTAATTGAATAATAACAGACGAAGATAAGTTGCCCTGCGGCTGTTCTGCGAAGAAGAATGGGTTTATTTCAAACCGAATCGATGTGGTGGCAAAACATAAATTAATTTATTTCTTAACTGGCTGCAGCCGAGTTGATTTAACTTGATTTGACTTTTAATTGCATTTGAAGGTTGCACTGTCGCCGTTGCCTTTGCCGTTCCTGTTGCCAATTAACAATTGACTTTTAATGAACGCCCGACTTGGCTTCTTCGCCTTCATCACTTTGGCCCAAGTCATTTGCAATTTTCCGCTTGGCCTTGAACTCATTACGCATACGCCATGTGCACAGCTCGACCAAGTGTGGCTGTCTGCTGCCTAACCTCTCTGCCCTTCACTACTGCTTTCCCTGTGTGTGCTCGCTGGCTTAGTTTCGTATCCATTTCATTTCCATTTTTGTACTGCCGCAGTGAACTTTTATTGTTATGACACTCGGCTAAGGGAAAAGTGTGTGGGGGATTTCACGCTGAGCTGGGTAAATGTAAGTGACGATTGCCATCTAACTAACTAACTGCGCTGCTGCTGTCGCTTTCTGGCTTGTTAGCCAGTCATACATATTCTGAGCCCCGTTAAAGGGATTCACTGAGGCTAAAACCTCTTACTAGCTTTACCTTATAAAATAGGTTTGATTTTTAGGTAAATAAATAGATTTTAAAAGCTAGAGACTTTTAAATATCTGACTATTTAATTGCATAAAATATTTAGGGATGATTAAAATTAATAGGGTTTCTTAAAATTCAAGGGTATTCAAGTTTCGATCTTGACCACTTCAGCCGTCAGTTGATTTGCATTTAACATTGACTTCTAAAGCTCATTGATTGTCCCTTTCCCACTCTCTCTACCTTTTACTTTCACTTTCCCCATCTCTTTGCCATCCCCGTATAATTAGCATTTTGCTCGATGTAAGATAGAGTGTAATGGAATCAGCACTCGAACCAAAACCAAACCAAACCATCCCATTGTCTCTCGGGCAAATTATTATTTCATGTAAAGTTTTTATCTACCTACCCTGTTCCCTGTTCCCTGGGCAAATGTCTTGTGGAAGTTCTTTTGTACTAAATATCCCTCGTTTGCCGCCCCTACTTCCAAAAAAGTTTTCGGTCGTCTTCGAGTATTTGTATTTGCTTATTGTTGTTTTCGGTAAAAGTTATGACTAAGTTGTTGGCTTTGCCGTTGCCGTTGTTTAGCTTAGCTCTTTGTTTGGTCATGTACTTCATTGTGAATGAATTCAATTAGCATTCATATTATTCATACACTTGATTCGTTTCTTGTTCGGCATTGAATAACTTTTATTTGGCAGCCATTGTTGCTGTTGCCGTGGTTCAAGTTCGGGTTCTTTGTGCTGCCACTAATAAACAAATGATTTGCCTTGTAAACTTGTACTTGGACTCCTGGAATTCGCCTCCCCTGCCTAAACAAGCCTGTCTTATGCCAGCCACTTGACTCAATTGCCTTAAAATAATTGGCCAATAATTCAGTAAAAATGACCACTTAATTTCGGCTTCATAATAATTTACCCAGCCGGAGAGCGAATCGTGTGTGGGAAAGGCACGCCAATGTCTTGGGAATTGCCGGAAGTTCGGCAGTTGTACGCTGAATTGCCCTGAGTGCAGCATTTGAAGTATGTTTGAAGGTCAGGAGAAAAATTACAAGAAAATTTGGAAGTAAACGGTATACATTTGTCACTTAAAATTCATTGGGAAAAAAAGGTTTCACCTAAAAAATATTTTATTAAAAGAAAACAAAAAAAAAATTTTCAGTATCTAGACAATTTTTATATTTTTTTTCTGTGCATCCAAAGACGTCTAAAGTGTCGAAGCTTCGCCAGCTTTAGAGCCGAATATAATATATTTTATATGGCACTAAAAGGTATTTTTTGCCAAAAGTTTACTTTACACTTTGGACCATTCTCTTTCTCTCTCTCTCGCTCTTTGTATCTGTCTCAATAAAGAGTGCTCTTCTATTGCGAAAGAGCCCTTCATAAATATTGCAAGTCAAGAAAAGTTTCTGTTTGCTCACTTACATTATGCTTCCATACAACTTTATAAGCAGCCGGATTTGCATGCACTTTACACTCGAAGTAGACATCATCGCCTTCCTCGATATCCTCCGGATTTAGATTGGAGCCCAGGTCCAGCTGCAAGGTGGGAATGACTGCAAAGAAAGTGGGTAGAGCAAACAACAAAACACTGGATGAGCATTGTATTCATTTGACTAAGGCAGTGGACTTAGACCTGGATTGGGATTCGCTCGGAGCTCGGAGGAGAGTCCATCAGACGTAATTTGCTGTTTTGGATGGACAATCCTTCGGCTCGGGCCCAAGAAAGGCATGAAATGGGTGGAAAAAGGGGGTTAATCCGGGCTTATCCGTGATTAGTGTCGCTTCGTCTCCGCCTTCTATCTATCCATGTATTCCGGCCATGCCCCTCGGCTCTTTGCCACCTTCCACTTGTTTATTATTATTTTGCACATTGTTTTTGGCAACTTACCTACCCCCCTGCCTGCTCTCGTAGTTTTGGTCTTGGGTCTCTGTCTGCTTAGCGCTGCTGCCTTTTTCTTTTCCACTTTCTGGGGTGGCACGTTCTATAAGCAAGTTTCTTTAAGCCGATTTCGTCTTTTGCAAAGACTTGTTAATGAAAATGAAAAGTGCTTTAACACACACCATCCCAGAAATGGAAAGAGAATGAACGTAAACCGAATAAAAGGGGGAGGTGAAGGGGTGGCAAGGACAAAGCGGACAGGAAGAACGAGTCAAAGCAGTTTGCATAATTTAAAGACTTTTCCCACTGTCCCAGCATCGCTCTGTGCCCCTCATTGTGTCTATCTTTTTCCCGCTCAACAAGTTCATTAGCGATGACTTTAAGCCGGCATAGAAAACTAAACAGAAACGAAAGGACCAGGGAAATACAGGATATTCACTTGGCAAAAAAAGTTGACTTTTGGGAAGTTTAGAAAAGCAATAGAACCAAAACTCACAAGAAAAAAAATTATTTGAAATAAGGAAATAAAAAGAAATGTTTTATTTTTCTTTTTTAATCAAAATTTAATCCAATACATTTTAAAAAAAATTAATAAAATAAAAACGTATGTAACATTCTGTAAATCTAGCAATTAAAATCAAAGTTAATCAAACTGTATAAGTGCCTCTGATTTTTTTAACTGCATAATGACAGTGAGATATTTTCCGAAGGAAGTTCCAAGTGGCTGGCAGGCCACACTGTTGCGGTTAGGATGGGCTTAAGTGGTAATAACTGTCACTGGCCAAGCTGGCCAACTACGTCTGGCTAATGCATTTTATGGTCCTCCATCTCGGCGACCCCTTCCGACCCTCGGACCCCTCCTTCGGATCCTTTGTGGAGTCCTGAATGTCCCGAAAACGAGAGGAAAAACCAAAGCAAGCCCATCCCAGTCGTAACTGCAGCTTAACGTAACGACTTTTGAGTGCCAGTGCCACATTATGGTGCAGCTGCAGTTGCAATTGGAAGGATCTGTGTGCCGGCCAGTGTGTGGGTGTTTGTACATGAGTGTGGGTGGAGCCTGTCATTGTCTATTGCCCCAAGTTGAACCAGTTCTCGTTAGCAGTCCTTAAATTGATTCCACTAGCCTCTCTTCCCATATAAATTGCATCGGGCTGAAAGCTTATTTCAGTCCTCCTACTTTTAAATCCTTTTTGAACGTAATTAAGTTATATCGAAAAGTTTGCAATACATTCGCAATGCAATAAGTTGTTTATATTTTTGTAATAGAAAAATATTGCAGAAAATAATCTTCGAAATACTATAAGTCTTCTTTAAAAATGTATTTTACTTACTTTAAAGGGGGTTACTTTTATTACAAAACTTTCTTCCATTTCTTATCACATAAATAATGAAAAAGGTTCCCTTTCTATGCTCAAAACCTCACCATGATTATTATGAAACAAAAATCTGCCCCGTCATTAAGTTTATTGCGGATATGACTTTAATTTTTGTAGGCCTGTCTTCTCCCGTTAATTTAATTTCAGGAGCCTAACCTGAGTTGATTGTGTGGAAAATAAGAGGTCTGCCTGCGTGGAGGCTCTCTGATTAAGATATTAGAGATAACTTTTTTATGGCCCCGGCTAAATGTGATGTAATATAATGAGAAAATTATTGGCAGCGTCAACTTCAACCTGCCCCATCTCATCTCTGGCAACAGCCGACATTGCATCAACTTTTCAATTTACCCCCGTCGCAGGAGGCAAACAAAGAGCGCGGTTAAAAAAGACACAAAATCTTTTGCTGGAACGAGGAAAGTCGGGCGGGAAATATGAAATCTCAGGAAGTGTCGGGCGAAGAAAAACGGAGGGGGACCAAAATATTTTAAGCACGCTATAAACATGTAAATGAGCATGGAAATTGAAATTGTTATCTAATTTTTTATATCAGCGCTCGCGCAGAAGGTGCGCCCTACTCTTTCGCACAAGACAGGCCCGCACTGAGAGAAAAGCTGGGATAAAATATTTAAAAAAGATATTAAAAGATATTCGTGACCAAATATTAGTCTTATTTGGGAAAATTATCAAAGAATTGGAACTTTGGTTCTATGAAATGAAATATATTATCAAGTTATGTTTTTTATTAAAAAATTATGTGTTCGGATTCCATTTCTCTCAGTGCATCATCTGCTGCAAACCGGAGAAGCATCCCCATCAACTCGGCTGCCACCGAAAGGAGTAAAAGTTTCAATGACATTGGGGAACAACGAGGCGGCAAGCTTTTTAGATAATAGACGTGGCAACTGTTTGCCCAAGACGCTGTCGTCACAGCCCAGAAGATGAGGACACGAGACCCCGGGACTATTGAAACATTAAGGGTTATCCGCGCATATGTGTGGTTGTGGGTGAGACGGCTTGGCTTAAAGTGAGCTTTTCCGGCTTGTCGTATAGTGTGTGCACTACTTCCTCGGCCGCTCGCTCGTTTTTAATATTTTGCCATAGAATTTTTATTAACAAACTTCACCCCGCAGCAGCACATTGTTGACGCGGCCCATAAAACAAACGTTTGACATACGAGCCAAGCGAACGCAAAAAAGAATTGAATGTATTATGTAAAGCCCGGCAATATTTGGAACAGGGTTCCGAAATCGCGCCTACCCCCTGTTATGTCACTATGGCATTGGTATGCAAAACAGTATTGATTCCCCAAAGGACATGGGCGATAAGCGGTTGACATAGTTTATGGGATCGCACGAGAACCAGAACGAGGGCCCATCGATGGTTTATGGGGCACTCATAAAGCAGGGGCATATGTCAAACGAGGGTGTTATTAAAGCGCGGAATGGGACGGTTGTTCCTGGTACACAGAATATTCGGGGGGAATAATCGTTGACAGTGCTTTTGATTGATTTTAGGACAAAAAGGGGAATTAAATAGGTGACCTTATTCTATTTATTTAGAAATATTTATTACACGCAATATTACCTATAGTTATTGAAATCATAAAGCTATGAAAATTAAATAAAATATTTTTCCCTTTAATCTTTATTTTAATTGCGGGAAGTTTGCAATATTTTTATTAAAAATGTATGTTGCAAGCGTAATGTTTAACACGTTTAATGGCTTCCTTAATAAGCGTAATTAAAACGTTTCAGTTTCGATTGATTTATTTATTATAAATATATATTTCTTTTGTGGTTGGTTAATGTACTTACAGAAAACATTCAATTTCATGGCCGTTTCCCGAATGCCATTGCGTACGAGTTCGTTGGTTGCCCGACAGGATAACGCCTTGCCATGATCTTCTCTGGTGGGTGTGATCGATAGCACCGAAGTGCTCACATTACCGTCCTCAGAGACCTATGGGATTATTTAATAATTAGGTAGTGAAAAACCTACGAATCGTATTTAATTTTACCTTCTGACTGTGGCCGTGCAGCTCGAGGTTGCCCATCCACCAGGTGATTTTGGCCGGCGGCCTCGAGCCGATCGCCTGGCACTCGATCTCGTACTTTCGATCCGCTGACATCGGCTGATTGTTGAAGCTGATTTCCACCAGCAGAGGCCGCACTGCAATGCAAACAGTTTGTTTATGAACGCGCATTAATTTCCCTCGTTAATTTATTTGCTTAAATGACATTTAAGGTTGGTTTTTACTCTCTCCGAGCCCGTCTCCCCCTGACACTTTTCTGGCTTTGTTTTTGCTTTCTGTATTCTGTGTTTGGTGCGACAGCAGCTTTTTGTTGATTTATTCAAATTGTGTGTGAAAAATCGAAATCGAAATGGAAATGACAGGCAATGCAATTAAAATTAATTGCAACAAATTACGATTGCCACCAGCAACAGGAACTGCAACAAGAACAACTGGGGAATGCAACAATATCGAGCATAGGGCAGCAAATATTGCTGTTTTCCATAAAGGGACGCATAATATGAAATGATAAATGTCAGGCGGAAAAGGCAAAGGAACCGACACGAAGCGAAACGAGGCGAGGCAAAGCATCATCGAACAATTTTCGTCAACATTTCCAATATTCCAATATAATTAATTATTTATTTTTGCAGGAAAACAACGAATACTTGATCAAAAGTTAATCATTATGGGTAGCAATTATAATTGCAAAAAACCCGTATTAAAGGCTGTTCCTTCCGGTTGAACAAATTCAGCGAAAACTTTAAAAGGCTTGACGGGAAAGGCCTTATTTCCGAAGCGCGATGGATGACGGTTTAATAAATAATTGGCATATGGCCAATTGGCATAGGCCATTGTCAGATTGGTGGATCACAAACAATGCATTAAATTTCAGCCAATAAATATTCATGCAATTACATTTATGTAATTTGAATATTTGTTAATATTCATGTTGACAGCAATTTGTTTACCCGCAAAATTGAAAATTGCCCAAACAAATAAACAATAACAAACATATTTTTTTCCGCCACCCAAACATGGTCACGTAGAGCTTTGGAGTCTAGGTTCATTATCAGCATTACACAATTTCCCATCGATATCGTTGTCATTGCAATTGTTTTCGTGTTTCTCGCTTTTAGTTTTTTCGATTTGCTGCATTCGTGGGAAATTATGAATTACGCTTTTTGGTTTGCAATTGGTAAATTATTACAATTCGGCGATTTATTTTGATAGCTGTTTAAAAATATTTTTGTGAATTTACAGAAAGGAAGACTTAGTCAAGTATTCAAAGTATTCTCTGTTACGCAAGGAGGGGAAATAAACCGCTTAGAGGGTATCATTTTCCAGAGACCTTTAAGAACACATTGCAATATCTCTTGCAATTTAACGAATTAAGCCAACTGTTGTTACTTTTTTCTGTTGTTGTTACATTTTCTGCGGTTGGCCGCGCATTTTATGCGTTAATTTAAAGGCGTGACATTTCAGTTAAGCCCAAATGCGATAATAAAAAAGGAAAACCAAAGGGCGACGCATGGCAACTATCTACAATTTTATTTATTTCAATGCCATTTAAACATTTTTTATTTTTTTCTCCTGCATACATTACAATATTATTCCACTTTTTTATTGTTTTTATGGGCATTGAACAGGTTTCAATGCGGTTGTTGTTGCTGCCGCTGCAACGCTTTATTGTAATTAAATTAATTATGCACATTTGCATTGGAAAATCATTTAAATGTTTAATTAAACGCACTACACCGGCTAGCATAGAAGACCAGGCCCCAAGGACTGAATTGCGACCAATTATGCAAACAGATCCATTAAATTGTTAAAGGCTTGAAGACTGCAGAGGTTATTTTCGAAAAGAAAAGAGAGTTCAATTTTATCGATAGCTTATTTTTCATTAAATTTTTATTGGTAATGCAATCAGATGTGAAAGACGAACAAAGGAGCTCCAAGGAAATCTGAGCTGCAGCTAAAATGACAAATGCAGAGGGAACATTTTAATTCAATTAAATGCTGCAGTTCGACTTCGACCAGCCCTTTTGGGGCCTTAAATTGTGTGCTAATGAGGAACTCTCATAATTGTTTTATGCGAGGGACCGAGTGTCGTGACGGGCGTAATCTAATTGTTAGTGGCCATAAAATTAACTAATTAAGGTCGTACTTATTATTCAACTGCCCTGTTTCCCATGCTCCTATTCTGTCATTACACGCGAAGCAAAAGCAGAAGAAAAACAGCAGAATTTCTGTAAGGGAAAAGTGGAAAAACCTGGTTAAGTCCACCACTCTTCTCTCCATCGTTTCAAGGTCATTTGTTAATCGTAGTACGAAACTGTGGCCACATTAATTGACCAAGTCAACGACATTCCACCGCCTCATCTTGGCCTTTTCTTATTGGCGTGTTAACTTTTATGTCACCGCAAGTGCGACATATTCCTATGCTCTCCGCAGTATTTTCCCCGAACCCAAAGCAATAATATCAAATATGCGCATCACCAGCTGCTGTCGCTGGAACATTTCGGCATTATTTTCCGGGCACTGGGAGCCTAAGTAGGAATTGACGTCCAATTGCTTTGGCGTTTTGAGAGCCATGACAGACGCGCCAAAGTGCCATAAAATTCTATGGCCAATCTTTGGCTGTTAGCGCAATGCCATGGGCCTAATAACCGAGCATCCAAAAAAATATTACATGGCAACGGGGAGACAACAAAAAGAAGAGGTAGCTGAAACTTAGGGATAATGCATAATTAGGTTCGGCGAAAAGTTGGTACCTTAATGGACTTAATTTGATTGAAACCATGATTTGCAGTTTGAGAACTTCTCTTTTTTTTTAGAAATTTAAGTTTTCCAAAAGCTTTTGTCACTTTTGTCGCTCCACTAATAAAGCTGACGGAATTGCAAATACATTTTCGTCGCAGCGAATACATTTTTTGCAAACAGCTTTTCCGAGCACAAATCTCTTAACCACTCACCCTCACAGTCAGGCACTCGAAATTGGCAACAATTTAATTCAATTTAACAATTTGCACAGCTCCTGTTCGTGGAGAGTGTGGGAAAAGGGCATTTAAAAAATTGTCACAAAATAATAAATCCATTCGGGTCATGCACAGTCCACTAACCTGAACGCAACTTCTATATTTTCAAAAAAATAAAGAAGGAAAAAACAGGCAGTTCGATATGATGTTGGGAGTAGAATATGTGCCAGGTCAGAGGCCACGGTAGGTAGGATAAGTTACGCACTGGAATTTCTGTTTTCCCTATTCGCTGTGTATTTTTTTGGGACGTGGGTATCGCATGCAATGCTACTGCTGTTGCCGTTTGCATTTTGTTATATTTGCATAAGCCATTTTATTATCTATTTTTTTGCTGCTCAGCCTCTCTGGGTTTTTGCTTATTTTTTTGCTTTTGGGGGAATGGCTGGTTCGTTTTTATCTGCGCAGCTATTTGTTAAAACTTTTATCGCAATGCTTAAAACCGAACAACAAAAGCAAGAGCACACAATCAGGATCAAAAAAGAGTGAAATATATACAATAAATAAATAAATGGTTTGGCAAAACGCTTTTAGCACCATATTTGGGTCGTTTTAAATCGCCTCACTGCTGAAACGGTTTTCAGTTTTTATTATAAACTGGAAAGTCAGAAGGCGCTCAATGAAACAGAAAGCCTAAATCTGGGCTACTGAAATTTTAGAAAGAAAAATAAAGCTGGGCTTTTTAAAGCCACTTGGCTAAAAATCCTTAGAAACATTTTTTTTTTTGTGCAAATTATTTTATTTTATAAAAGCCTGTTCTTATACTCACGATAGAGCTCGATGGTTATGTTGGTGGCCACATATTTCTTGTGGAAATTGCTGGCCTGGCAGGTGTAGACCGCATGCTGGTGGATTCTTGACAGGTTGCGAACCACCAGCTTGCTGTTGATGGCGCCATCGTATGTGTAATCGACAACGCTGTTCTGCAGCTGCCCATTCATCAGCCAGATGACAGTCGGCGGCGGAGATCCTGGAAAAAAAGAAAACAAGGATATTAGTCATTATTAAATAATTAAATTGAAACAGGAAAGTAAATAGAATCCAAATATTATAATGAAATTATTAAATTATTAAACTAAATTATGAAACTAAGCTAATTCTTATTCCTTTTTAAGAAACCCCCATAAAACTATGTACAATATCTAATACTCATAAATCCTTTTCCACATTTCCACCAAATGGACTAGCTACTCGTTATGAGCATAATTATCCATCACCTGGATTAAAGTGCCTGTTATAATCTATCCTTAGAACCTCTAATTTAGTTAGCTGGTGGGGCTTGTTGACTAGCCACCATCTCCAGCGGAGTGGTGCAATTGCTGAATGGTGGGGGCCACTTAAACCAACACACAGACGCACAGCCACATTACTCATACGCAGCGTGCGGCACTTGGCCGCTTTTAACGACTTCAACTTAATCAAGCGCTGAAATTAGCTTTTGTGTGCGTATATGAGCGCACATTAATTTAATAGCAACGGGTGGTCGGTCACTCATTCAAAGGAGAGCAAGTAATACACTGCGAAAAAAATAATAAATCAAATGTGCAGTGCAGAGGATTAAGTAGATAACTCTTTTCCAGTTGAGTGTTAGTCTTTTTTAAGCCTACTCTTTTTAATTAAAGTTTATTTAATAGCAGGCAGTTTCTTAACTTTTCTGCCAGTGTCAGGGGCTGACACAAATAAATTCTCTGACAAGCTTGTTGTATATTTTTCTATTATTACTTAGTTATTACGCAAAATGCTTGATGAGTAGCCATAAAAAGCAATGCGACTGAAGTGCCATTAAATCCACCTGGAAATTCACTAAAACTAAGCCATGGATGGGCCGAAAACTGCACTTGATATGTTTGAAAAATGTGTCGCTCGGGCACATATATAGATTTTCCTATATGTATATGCGGGGACATACAGCGAGGTAAACGCACATTACTTTGATTAATAACTGCCATTTGGTAGAGTTTTATGTTGTTTATGAAAATATTTCACATACTCGCAGAGGGCCTCTCTGTGTGTGTGTGTTTTGGGGCAGAGTAGATTAGCGCATGTGTAGCAAGGCGGCTTAATGGTCGTCGGTGATTTATTGGCCTCTCCTCGAACAGAAATACAATGGTAAAAATAAAAGGACAAAAAAAAACAATGCAAAAAACAGATTGCAATTGTTTCTCTTTTTTCATCACTTAAAACCAACAATTTCCTTTTTTGAAAATTCAACTGACTCTTGCTTTCGCTTTAAAGTCACAGTCAAGTTTGCTTGCAAGGGACGGGCGATGTCTGCTGTTTTTTAATGTCAACATAAGGTGCCCCCACCCAAAGAATCGCACACAAACACACTCGCCAGCAGCAGCTGACTTGCATTTACTCCCCACACAAACACACTCAAAGTTTGCACTACTTAGTTTTTTAGACTTTCTCCCTGCTTTCCTTTCTTCTTACTTCAAGTTTCATACTCTTGCACAATGGCTTCTTACAAAATCTACACAGAATGTAAGTTTTAATATAAAAACCCTACTTTTTTATTATATTAAAAATATTATAAATCTATTTATTTTATCTTTAAAGCCCTAAAAAAATAAATCCGAAAGTAATATTTTTTTAATAAGTATGAAATTTATTTTAAACCCATAAATTTGATGGTCATTTTTTTTTTAATATTTTTACTGGATTGTAATTATTGAATTCAGCAAAATATTTAACCTATCCAGATAGAAGAGTATTTTTAGCCTTCGTTCCTCAAAAAAACCACGCCTCTTTCTTTTATTTCCTTTTGCTTTTTTGCCAAGTGCTTTGCCATTTTTAGAGCAGGCATCAAAAAACGGGTTTTTGTGCCAGGCAGCAGAAAAGCAGTAGCAGCGGCAAAAGCGACATTAGCATTTCTTTGCCATGTCCACCTGGCGTGCACCTGCCCACCGCCCACATCCACACCCACTTTCTAATGAGCGGCAGCATTCAAATGCGTGCCAGTTTTTAGCGTTTCCTTTTGGCGGAGACTTAAAGCCGCTGCCAGCCAAGTCCGACTCACTTATGCACTCTTGCACACACGTTACCAGAGCTCAAAGAGTCCTTATTTCTTGCTTCATACGAGAATTGTTCTGTTTATCCACATCGTACCGAAATGCACAGCGGGAAGAAAATTCCATTGAAAATACCAGTCGATTCTGGTTTCTTTAGAAATGTTCTCTAAAAATATCTTATAAAATATTTTAAGCTTTTGAAATTGAAATGTAAATAAAGTCCATGCCTTATCTATTATTTTTATCAAAAGATTGCGATTTTATTCAACCTTCATCAGCCTCTTTTCCTAAGCTATTGATTAAAATGCTATTTTTATTCAATAGAACTGACCATTCTGTTGATTTCAGCATAAGTTTATTTGTTTCGTTAAAATAAATAATGAAATTAAGCTCCGATGATGGAAAAGTACTGGTGATATTGTTGTTAATCTTTGTTTTCTGTGTAAAGAAAACAATAGAGAAAAGACCCTTGCATATGCACATGAAAACTTAGACCATGCGCTTTAGTTATGCAATGCTGAAATATTTGCTTGTTTAGTTTTGCATATCTTTGCATCCCTTGCATCTGTTTTGGCTTTGGATTTGTCTCTGGCGAAATAGATACACTGCTAAAAAAAAGAAGGGTGTGTGGGGGTGGGACCACGAAAACCAAGCTCTTAAGAAGAAACAGCAGCAAAAATCTAGAACTCGTGATGGTAACATAAAAAAAAGTAAAAGGAGGAAACTCTGCCATGCCACATAAATATATTTTATGTTGTTGTCTTTGGAACACTTTCTGTTTATTCAGTTCGCATTTCTGCCCCCCTGACTCTCCGGCCATTTTTTGCTTTTGTGTGCTCTTTGGCATTTGACCTTTTGTCCAGTGAGGAAGCTGTAAAATAAATTTAAGGCTTGCCGGCTTCAAGGGTCCTTTTAAAGAACAACAGAAATTGCAACACTCAATTGTCATTTGTACTTTGATTATGAAGTTTTTCAGTCGAAATTAAAGTTCTTTTTTCTGAAGAATTTCAAGCTCTAAAGAAGGCAGAAAGGCGAACAAAATAATAATTACAAATACTTTCAAGGTTCTATACCTCTTATGGCGCCTTTTCAGAAAGCCCATAAATGAAAAATAAATGAAGTTGAAATTATGCAAAGTTTTGTGGCAGACAATATACTATTTCTTCTCCCCCTTTCGTCTCCTTAAGTATTTCCCCCATTTTGTTGGTCCTATTTTCGCTTTAGTAAATAACTTGTGTTGTTGCCTGGCTCCGTATTGTTGCACTTCCGTGCACCGAAATGTGCCACAACAACAGGCCAACAAAAGTAGTCGTAATAATAATAATAACAACACGAGAAAAGTGAGGAGAGAAATTTTTATAAAAATGCACACAATTTTGTACTCGGCAACCTGCCTAGAACAACAACAGCAAGCACAATAACAATATGGCCAACGCTCACTTTGGCCAAAACGGAAAACGCCTGCACTTCCGTTTGACACACAGAACGAAAAAAAAGGAATGGAGGGTAAAAAGCCATTTTTAGCACACTTTTACTATGCTGGGAATTTAAAGGGGTATATAGGATATTTAACAGAATACGCTTTCTGCTACGTTTTTGAAGATGGGAAAAAAAAATGGACAGATTGCAAAATCATAGACAAAATAGACCAAAATTTAAAATTAAAAATTACGTTAAGATTATTATTATATTTTAAAAACAATTTAACAACAAATCTTTTTACAAAATAAGTTAGCCAAAATGCTAAACCGAAATGTCACCCTGCCGCTTAGTTGATGTTTTCTGCCGCGAGGTGGCTCTTTTAATATATACTCTTTGCTCCGGAGAGTTTCTGGTTATGGGATAAGATGGGGAATTGGAGTCGGAGGGGCAGAAACCACCGTGTGTAAAATTCATGACGTGCAAAAGAAGGCAACGCTGAATATTATGCATTAGTGGCCACATAAACCCAGGGTTTTCTCCCGCTTCCCGCTTTTCCCCCGCGCGCTTTTCCCAATGCCAGCGCACAATGGCTGCCCCCGGTTCCAATGTATATATTCTTTATGATTTGGTAGGGGCGCTCTGGCGGAGGGGGATTGGTAATTTTTACTACCCACACAGACTGTGCTGGTTGGTTTATAACTTCATTTCGCTCCCCGTTTCTCCAACGTTTTTCGGGGCTGGCGTGTCGCGCTCATTTGCAATTGTGGCCCTCCTCCTAGGCTGCAATAAAATTTACTGCTCCTTTGTCGATTTCGCACACTCTTAAGCCCAAACCGGCTGGCTTTCCCATCCAAAACACCGACCATTTCCATCCCGGGCCGCTCCTTCCTCATCGCCTGCCGCTTTTGACTTACTTCTGCTGATTGCACTTGTTTATGTGGCAACTTTTTCAGCACTTTATGCTCCTCCCACTGCCTTCTGCCTCCTCCCCGCTGGCTTTTTGTTTTGGCCACAGAATTGCAATTTCTGTAATGGACATTGCATGTTGAATGCCAAAGACCTGACCACACCAGACCCAGAACCCCGGAACCCAGAACCCCAGAACCGAAAGCGGCTAAGAATGGAAATGGAGATGGTGCCGGACTGAGCATAATGTCAGCATTTGCCTGCAATTTATATCCGTCCGCTGTTTAAGATTTCAGTAGGACGGCTAGCATTTTCAATTTCACACCATTACCAAGTCGTTCCAACATAATTGGGATGTTCAGCGGTTAAGGGGAAGAACCTGTCCGGTTAAAGGATAATAGTTCTAAAGTGCACTAAAAAAAATTAAATAAGAGAAACTCACGGAAAAGTTTGCCAGAATATTTCATATTTTTCTGTTCGACGTGGTGTAGGGTTGTTAAAAAATCGATAGTGCCGATGTTTTTGGCTATTGATGGTGGTAACTATCAATATTATCGATACTATCGAAAATTAAAGAAAATAAATAACAAATTACAAAATACCAAAATAATCACTTTTAAAATTGTAAAATTAAATTAAATATTTTATTTTCTTTGAAATCCAATTTTATTCGAGTGCAGTCATTTTCCTTCCAACTCGGATCAATTTGTTCGTTTTAACTGTCAACGAGCCTGACCACACACACTCACTTTCTCCCACTCGTTTTGTACAAGTTTCAAGTACTCCAATTGCTTTTCCCCACCCCCTCGCTCATTTGCCAACATCAACAGACTTCCTTTTTGCTTGTCAACAACTTGGTTGTCCACTCTCCCCCTTTCAGACCAACCAACCCCTGCAGCTTTCCCTCCAGCTCGTATGTATTCACATTTGTACATTGGCAACATTTTCCTTGCCCCCATTTAATTGGCACATACAACATTTTGAGTGCCCAATTTTTCCTGCTTTCTTTTTTCCCCTTTCCACCCCCTGCGGACTCACCCCTTTCGCGGCCATCCCTCCGCCCCCCACAGTGCCGCCCAGAAAACTACTGACCAGTTAACAGTTGCCGGGGCAGTTTCAAGTGCAGTTTGCTGGCTTGGTGATTTATTTTATGTCAACGTTGACATGTCAAACCATTCAAAGTGGTTTCGCTTCCGCCCAGACCCAGAAAACAAAGGGGAGTACGCAGCGATAAAGCACGCGATTGTCGTTGGCTGGTGACATACTTATGTCGGGCATTGTGACGGCTTTCGGGAGAAGGCAGCTATGGATTCTCGAATTGCGGCTCTCGGACTTCTCTGAGTCCTTTTTTCAGCCTCGTATTTCCCGGCGAATTTATTCGATCATCCAATCTTTACTTTGGGTCTTATTAACAACAATTGACTTAAGGGTTTTGTGTGCGATTCTCTGATTGTACACGTTGAGAAAAGAGTTAAAGATATATTGCAATTTAATCTCATCTGATTAACATTCAAGTAAAGAAGATAAGCAAAAAATGCTAATTTTGTTAAGTAAAATAAGTGATCCTTAATTAAAATATCAAAATGTTCCTAAGCAGTTACACTATTTTCTGTGTAAAGCCTTTGTCAACATATCAACCTGGGAATCATCGATAACAAAGCCTGTTGACTTCGGCGGAACTCCTACAGTATTCTGGCCTTTTTCTCCTCCTCTTTTTTCCCTGCTGACTGCTTCTTTCTCTTGAGCATTTTTAATCCTTTTGTTAAGGCGACACATTTGCGAAATTAACTTGGCTCCCTGAACTCTTGCCTCCACTGGCCCTTTCAATTGGCTCCTGTTTCACTGACATCTGTGTTCGCTTTCCTTACAATTGAACTTTATTTATTGTTTGTTGTTTATGCTCCCCGCCTTTGTTTGCATGCCAACAAAGCTTAGTTACTCACCCCCGCCAGTAGCGCGATTTTAATTTTTGATTGTGTTCGTGCCGAATACTTTTATGTTTTTACAGCCAGTTGTAAAGTTTAATTATTGATTGCATTTTATAGGGCTGGCAATTAATATTTTATTTTGCTGTAATCCCACTGCCCCACATTTAGTTTATAAGGTATCTGATCAGCATTAATGGGACTTACCACCGTAGACAACGCAGGTGACTTCCAGGCTGCCTCCCTCTTCATAAGGACCTGCCCTCGAATCGATTCGCAGGCGACGCTCGTTGAAGATAATCGGCTGCGTCGGCGGCACTGGAAAATTAAACAATTTGCATTTACTACGACTGTTAAATATTTAAAAACCTGCAAAATAACCGGTTAGCTTACAATGATTTTAAATAGCCGCAAATCAGAAATAATTTGGCATTGTCAAAAGCAATGCAAAGGCAAATTTATACAGCGCTTTTACTCATATAGCTCGCATAATAAATTGTAAGTTTTGCGGCTAACCGAAAAATCATTTCAGCTAATTTATGTGCAACTCGTTTGGTTGGTTCGTCGTGTGTGACTGTATGTTTGGGTGTGGACGAAACAAATATTAATTGCTTTTATAATCGTTTCTGGCTGGCCATATTTATTTATTTATTTATGTGAATGTTGATTTCATATGCACGTAGATTTCACATATATTTATTAATGGTTCTTTTTATTTAAACTGGTTGAAGTGGAAAAATTTTAATTGAGATTTGAGTTGGACAAACAGAAAAGGATCTGATTTTTATTCGTTTATCTACGCTTTTGCCAACATAGTTTGGCCATCTTTGTTTATAAATTAAATAAATATATCCTATGAAAATATTGAAAACTTAATAGTGCGAATTATAATCCAATTGTTCCATTGAGTTTCGTAAATTTTAAAATGAATTTGTTTTTGTGATAGTTTAAATTTGTACTTGTTATGATAGACATATATATTGGCGGTTAATTAAATATTATTGTGGCTAAGTTATAGATTGTACTCGAATTTTGACCTCGATTTGCAATTTGATTAGTGTTTATTTTACTTTTTTTGGTAATACTATAAACTTTACCATAAGTGCGGGTAAAACTTTTTTCAATTTAGAAATTCAATTTTAATTTAAAACTGTTTCATGTTAATTAAAGGGAAGTTAGATTTTATCAATTATTTATTCGAGTGTGGGGCAGCCGAAATAGATTGGATTCCTGACATCTTTCAGTTCTGGGTATACGCACCGACAACCTCCAAATTGACGTTGCTGTTGCGGGTCTGCGAGAGCTTGAAGTCCACGCGACAGCGAAAGTTGCCCGCATCCTTTTCCTGAAATGAAATTCCAATTATAGAGCGCCGCGCTGTTGACACTCGCGATGGGCGGTGCTGAGGGGAAAGGGAAAGTGGGAAGTGGGATGGTTACCTTAACCGGATTTATAATCAATTCGGCCGGCTCCTTGTGCGTGCGAAAGACGGCCCGATCCTCGAGGACCTCCTCGTCACGCCAATGCGAAGGGGTGCCTGCGTGGGCGCCACGTGTGTCGTAGCTGTCAAAGGGATTGAGATACAGATGCAGGATTCAGGATACAGGCTACCAAAAACAGATAGACACGCTCGCAGTGCCCAGATTGACCTACCTGTAAATGGGTAAATTATTCTTGTACCAAACGACCAGCAGCACTTTGTCATCGGCCTGGCTGGAGCCCACATCACATTTGATTTGGGCCGAGCTGTTCACCAGCACGCGCAGGATTTCGCCATCTGAAAGTAGAGAAATGCCATGAGAAAAGGAGTCACTGCTAGTTGGCAAGTCTTATTTCAAAGTTCTTTGCTGCCGGCTGAGAATGGAAGTCAATTTAGCTGGCAAATTGATTTTCAAGTGGCTGCCGCAACAATTTGTCAAAAAGTGCTCAACAATTGCATTACAGCACAAACACACAACTACACACTCACTCGCAGCAGGAGTAAAGGAGCATTATGAAGTTCTGAAAATTTTGATAAAGTTGTTTGTGCCAGGAAAACTAGGAAAATATTTCATATTTCCTGGCAACCATTCAACGAATTTCGCTCTGATAAATGTGGCTACTTTTTGGCTAGCGAAAGGGTCGCTCCCTTCGTCCCCTTCTAATTAGCCAAAAGCTGACCAGCGAAGCCTTCGCTCGCACCATTTGGCTAAGCTTTAAAATATCGATCGATCTGCGGCTGTTTGAGGCCTGAAAAATGAAAACCAAAAATAGCCGAAAATCGCCAAACAAAATCACAACATTCATAGGGAGATGGAGATAGCGGCGAAAGGGCGATGGTGATGGTGAAAAACCAGATATAGTGGGCAAAATGCAGCGACAAGCGACCACATAATGCTGCAAAACAAAACAGGAGAAAAAACCGAACAGCAAAACCCGGCAAAAGCCGTCGCACGTGTGAAGGGAGGCTGAGGGGCTAAAGGGATGACGATGGCCAGGGGATAGTGGCAAAGCGGAGCTTAGGGGTGATTACCCAGCCACATGCGGATTACAAAATGGCCGCCATTTTCGTGTTGTGCTGCCCAGTGGCTCCCCGCCCTGTGTCAGTGTGTGTTTATGCGGTAAAAATGCATTGGCAAATGCGTCTGGCTTGTAAAAAGAGAAGGGAAAAAAGCAAATACAGAAGCGGAAAATATAAAAATATAACCTCACTGATCGAAGATTTAATTACCCTTGGTCATACGGACAAAGATCCTCTTAAAATTTAAGAAAAACTATAAGAAAGTTATAAAACATCTCAATAAAGTTTATTGAATAAACTCGAAATGGAATCACAAATTATTCCAGATAACTTCACATTTTTTTTAAAAGGTTATAAATACGAGTATTTCTAGTTAAAAACATTTTCTGTAGCTACAATCATCAATCAATTGAAGATCCAATTACCCTGGTCATACGGATCCTCTAAAATCAGCTATAGAAAAAAAAATCAGAAATAATTCAAAATGAAATCAAAAATTATTCCATAAAATTCAGGATATTTTCTTTAGATCATAGACTCGAATATTGCTAGCTAAGCAACATTTTCTGCTGCTACAATCATCAATCAAAGTAGAAGCCATGGAAACGGATGCATTGACCCATTTTCCGGCATACTTGAGATATGTGACAGGCCTGAGCCCAGTGAGCTGACTCTGACTTCTGTTGCCAGCATACCCCATGGATAGCCTCAGGGTATTCTGGCCGGATTGGAGCGACAAGTGCCTTGGATGGCAAACGACATCGAACTTCACTTGCTGCGACCAAGGGTAAACGGTAAACGCCTTTGGCAGAGCTTTTGTTTCTAATTTTGCACTTGTGTGCGCAATGTGGCCGCAAAAGGCCTACGCAATGGGGCAATCGCCCACTTTCCCCCCAACTGGCACCGCTTTCTCCGCTTTCCCCACCCATTTAGGTGGCCTGGGGCCCCTGGCTTCACTTCACTTTGTCCACACAGAGCACACCCGTAGCGGACCACATGATAAATAATCGATAAATTATGTGGACACATGTTTAATCTAGCATGAAATGGAATCATTTCCCTTCAATTTGTTGTTAGCCAGGCCAGCCAGCAAAACAACAAAGCAAACGACCGAGCGATAGGACAGCAAAAAGAAGAATACAGCGAACAGATGTGTTTCGGGTGCGTGTGAGGGGAAAAGGACCTATTTAAATATAAATAATGATCAAATTATAAACGACGGCGAGTGTCCGCTGTCTGCTGACTAAACACGTCGTTGCTACGAGGGAATTGTTTGCTCTGCACTAAATTATTGCGCATACGCCATGTTAACGCACTTGGCCAACTTGGCACAGTGTCAACTTGTCTGGACTCCAGACAACATAGCCGCATCTCTGCGGCGCTGAATGATTCATTCATCATTTGCTTAATTGCATGCCAAACATTACAATTACCCGAACGACAGCTGAAAATGTCCAACGATGAAACCATGTTCAGCTGACATTCCAAACTATCTCTCTATATCTATTCGTAGCTCTATGCCTGTCTGCCGTCTGGAGTTTCTTAATTAATATTTTATTTCATTAGCAGATTGGTCATGAAATGACATGTGTCGTCACAGCAAGCTGTCAGCCCTTAAGCCGCACTTGATAAGGTTTTCGGGGGCCAAATGGAGACAATTAGCTGGGCAGCAAAACATTTTGAAATAGATACGAAAATGCCAAGTTAATTGTCCTTGTCAATTGCTTAGGTGGGTGCAATTTAAATTTTCCCTTGTCCGAAATGCTGCTAAAAGGACTAAGAAAGGCCATTAGTCTCATTTCACAAAAGTCTTCAACACTTAAGGAAGATAGATTCATTAGTGGGCATGTTATCAACTTTGTTTACATTAAAAAATATTGATTTAAATTATTTTTAAAATTTTTTTACCATTCTAAAATTAGTTGTATTTAAAAAAAACATTTTTTGAACCCTCATACAAATTTTTCTTTCTAAATAATTTAACAATTTTGTAACCATTTAAAAATTTTTTTAGGCCTCATACCAATTTTTCTTTTAATATAATTTTATAAAATTAATTAGTTTAAAAACATTTAATTTGTTTTTCTTTTTGGGATTATTTCTGTGTATTAACAAGTATTCAATGGCCTCCTTAAAAATAAGATGTTTTTAAATTATCGAATGGATGCATGAACATCCATGGATAATTAAGCCCAACCATGTAGGCCTCCTGCCAATTTATATGTCTTCATTACGTACTCAAAACTACGCCCGAGTTGTCCTAATTTCGTTGGCATACTCGTACGTCTGTGCGACGCTGCTTTGTTGTCTGCGGCACAAAAGCACAAACAACGACACTGACAATGACTCTTTGGATATCCTTGATGGCGATGCCTATAACAATGCCGCCACTTGTTGTTGCCTGCTCCCTCCTCGGCTTAATGTAATTGAACTTTTTTTCTAATTGACACTTGTCACTGGCAAAGACATTTAAAAAGCTACGGCTACGAAAAAGAAATAAACTTAATTTTGACGCATTTACACATACATTTATTTCAATTTCCCAGCACAACAAAGGGAGCGAAGTAGTCGCAGTGGCAAACAAAACAATTCCAGCTCAACTACCGCACACACACACAGCCACTCGCATCAGGATAACTACACCCACACAGAGGCAGGCAAACAAACAGGAGTGGGCAAGTTGTATCTGTGTTTGTGGCACAATGAAAAGCTCCTCGACAATGGAACACAGAACGCAACTCGGGCTGGCGAATTTATTGCACTGGTGTGAGCTTGAATGTGAATGCGAATGTGAATGGGAAGTCATTGGAGTGGTTGCAGTAACCGCAAAGAAAAAGCTGCAGGAGCTGCGGCGGCAGCGACAGGTGGAGGCGAAGAACAGCAGGCTGGCATCCTGGAGGACACAACTAAATACAAAAACCACGTGACAATGTCTCCCGCCCCTCCCTCCAATGACGAGCGGTGGCCGGAGAGCAACCATTTCAGTGGATGTATCCGTGTAGCCACCAGCCAACAGCAACTTTGTGTCGCATTCGCAGAAAGAAAACCGCACGGGAATGCATCAAGCTGTGAGGAGCAGGCAGCTGAAAGCAGACGGCGAACGCCGCAAAACTGGATAACTGGGCGTATGCGTGATGTGTGGTTGTGGGGGGAAAACTACACAAACTCAAAGGTGGAAATTCTAGATTATAGTTTGCCTTGCTACATTGTTTGTCAGAGATCATTTATTTTTTCTAAATTGTATGTGGTCATTTTCTAGTCCTAACATGGATTCCTAATGTTATATTTAGAAATTAAAAAAAAACAAGTAGAAGACCGTGAGTCTAATACATATGTGTAAATGTGTAGAAAAATGTTTTAGCTTTTTAGCATTCAGACTTTAATGTTCCCTTTTGATGGGACCTTACTTTAAATACTCACAAATTAAAGTAACATCGTGCACACTCCTTTAAATATGAATTGCATGACTTTACAAAAACATGGCTGGGAATGGGCGCACATGTCGTATGCGCGTTATGCAGTGCACTTCGTTAAATCCAATAACAAGACAGACAGCGCCCACAACAACAACATGGGGAGCAGCTAAAATAACATACAATCAACAGAGACAGTTAGACAGGCAACCCTCAAAAAAGAGTGCTTGCTGTTTTTCCAGAGCAGTGGGATAAAAAAGGACGAGGGCGAGGAGCTCCAGAAGGAGACAGCTGCCATCCAACGGTAATTGACAGAAGTCGCTCAGAGGAACGTTCGTATGTAGTTGTGGAATGGAACTCCGGCCTGCAATTGCAATTGCAATGATAATGTCAAACTGATTTCACTACAGCTCAAACCCAGACAAGTTTACTGCGGTTACACGTTTTAATACAACCCAAAGGGTCGCTTAAAATCAAGTCCGAAAAGGGCAACAGAAATGTATAAGAGTCAAAATCTGCCAAGTGGGCCACCCCTGTTCCGAAGGTCCGATTTTCATCGAACTTTTTTACTTTTCCGGTTCACAACGAAAATATAAGAACTTCATTTGAACGGTTTTGCGAAATTTTGAGTTTTACCGGAGTTATAGGGGTCAAAACATGGCATTTTTGACACTTTTTCGAAAAAGTTGCACTCAGTCAAAAATTCATAACTTCGGAACGGTAAGAGATATCTTTATGATGTTTTCACTAATCGCTCAAGAATTATTATGGCTTTCCATAAAAAAATTTAAAAAAAATTAAAAATTTTTTTTCTTAAAAATAAATCAACATTTTTTTTAGTTTTTATTTTTTCAGTGTTCTTCA